GAGGTATCCTTTAAAATGTAGGTGCAGGCAGCCATGCCTCCCATAGCTCCTACACTCTGCAAGCCTGAAGAATTAGCACCCTGTGGACACTGCCTAGTCTTACAGCCTGTACCTTCTGGAGTGTCAGCCAGAGCCGCATCTAAACTCATTTGAACCACTTCTGATATGGCAGAAGAGTGCAGTTCAGGAATGCAGGCATCAGGGACTTGAAGCAGCCCTGGGAAGTGAGCATCAAGGTCTCTAGGGCTCACAAGGCCCCTCTTTTGATATCTTTCTGTTCCCCAGGCATTGACATTCTGGGCCTCTGATGGGAGGGGCAGCACCAATAATAAAATGCCTTCAGGCTCATTCTTCCTTTGTCTTGGTGAATAGCAGCTGGCTTCCCTCTATCCATACTAACCTCCTTATCAAAAGATCTCTGGCTGCATCCTAAGTTTCTTCTAAATATGCCTTTTCTTTCTTTAAAATAAAACCAGAATAAGAATTTTACCTTTTGCTTTCCTTTTCAATATAAATTCCATCTTCAAGTTGTTTCACTCTTCTCAAATTTTACTACAAGCTGGTAAAAAAAAAAAAAAAAACACACCAGCACCCTGGACATTTTGTCACTTAGATATTTATTCCACCAAATATCCTAGTTCTGCTAGGCTTAAAGAATTCACCCTCTCCAAACTTCCATCCAAACCTCCTATAAAATCCACCCCTCTCCTCTTCCTAGGGGTGTATTAGACATATAGCCTTTGCCAGACCCCTAGGGAGATAAAGGAATGAATGGAATGCAAGGGGGGAACTTACTTTCCTTATGCCACCCATTCCTTTGAAAAGAATTTATTTACTCCCCCAAGAAAAACCCTCTATGAAACTCAAGGCTCTCCCCTTTTCTCTCACAGATTCTTTTTTCCACCTCCACCCATCTGCACCCTGTTCCTGAAAATAAACCACATTTTTCTACACATGAGGCTTTGTCTCTCTCTCTCTCCTCCCGACCTAATGGTTTATGGTTCATTGATTCTGCCTTTCACAAAATATTGAGACATGAAGACAATTCTGCTAAGTTCTTTGCCACTTTGTGACTAGGATGGCCTTTATTACATTGTGTAGTATCATGCTCCTTATTCCTATCTGAGACTCATCAGAATTACCTCTACCATCCATATTTCTAACAAAATTTTCTTTGAAGCTACTTAAGTAATCTTTAAGATGATTTAGGTTTTGCCTATAGCTTGACGACAGAAAAAAAAGACCAAACTCTGTGAAATAATTTTAAAGAGATTTACTCTAAGCCAAATTTGAGGACCATGACCTGGAGCCACACCCAAGAATCCTTGAGCAAGTGGACTCGGTGTGGCTGGGTTATAGTTTGGTTTTATACATTTCAGGGAGACAGGGGTTACAAGTAAAGTCATAAATCAACATGAGGGAAGTATACATTGGTTTGGCCCGAAAAGGTGGGCCATCTCCTAGCAGGGGCTTACAGGTTGGTTATAGGTGAGTTTAAGTGGGATCTAATCAAATTAAAAAGCTTCTGTACTGCCAAGGAAAATATCATTAGAGTGAATAGACAGCCCACAGAATGGGAAAAAATATTTG